TTACCAGCAACCACTTCATGGTCCGAAGCATTTGTAGCCACCATAATCAGCGGCGACAACCGAGGGCTATACATCATCGGGCTGAGCAGAGCAACATATGTCCAAATAGAGGTGGGTGGGGGTCAGAACCTGCAGGAAGGGAGGAATTCTCGAAACGGAATCGGAATCGTAATCGCATGAAAAAGTAGGGGTGAACAAACAACGGCGTGTGATATTTTGATCAACCGAATGTTACATCAACCGAAAGTCATGGAACAAATCGAGGCTCGTTAATAGAAAACAATTAGATTCTTCTCGTTTTTCCACGGGTTTCCTGGATCCGTTGGCCAGTGTTTGGCCCAGGTGGCGAAAAGAAGGGGAAGGGGTTAAATGAACTATGTGTGGCACGTTCCGGCTAATATACGAAATGAAAAGTCAAGTTTAAAATCATTTATCTTGTTTTCCATCAGCCGGGGGAGAAATATCGCAGAAAAAAAAGAATGGAATTGAGAAAAAATGACAAAGGCACGAGCAGAAATGATGCCGCTAAATGAAATTGGCAAGAGAGCCGCGATGCTTGGAGCATGTTGTGAATGCGAAATGAACCGAGTGACAGTGACACCCTGAAAAGTGGTAGCCCACACACAAACACCTTGCTGTCAACCCTTTTTGGCCTCGGCCTTTTCGTCATATTATTCAAATTGAAACCGTTTTTCCGTGTACTTTTCGCATTTTTTCCACCGAAACTGAAATAGCCGCCCCATGATTAATTCACACAATTGGGAGAATGGTATATTCTTCGTTTGGAATTCTTAAACCACTGACCCTTCGCCTTTAACCCTTCTCCACATCCTGGACACTTGGCTTGCCAATTGCTTCTTTGACAAATTATAGTTGCGGGGGTGACAAGGATCTGCAACTTGAAATTAAAAAGTTTATAAAAAAGAAACAAATTAAATAACACAGAAAAAGTAATTTATTTATGTCGGAAAAATTTAACATTTATTTCTTTTTCTCTTACTACAAATTTATAATAATAACACATTAATGTAATCTGCTAATTGAAAAATAAAAAAACACGCTTTAAAATTTGCACATCTGAGTTCTGCCATTTGTCATGTGCAATGCACGTGTCCCACTCAAAAGGACTGGGATCGATGGTTTTATTTTTAAAATACAAGAAAAAATCGCGATTGGCGAATCAATCAAATTTTGCAAATTGTCCGTGAATATTTGCAATGTATCAAGTTACTCAACTAGGCCAAAGGACCAATTTAATTTTCATTTTTTAATTTCCTAAAAGACTGTAGCTGATTGATTGATATAGCTGAGAAATTATTTTCGAATTCTTTGGATAGTAAATAAAAATCAGAATATTTTTCACCCAGAAACAATTGCTTTCCAAAAACACAATCAAATTCAAAAATATAATTGTTAAACATATTTTTGATTAAAACAAGAATCGCATTATCACTTATCTGATAGACTTAACTGCTCCGACTTCTGGCTCGCCCACGTCGTGAAATGCAAAAACATTAAAATGATAAATGAGTACGATTATTTCCTTATTACCATCAAATTAATACTGCTCCTCTGTTTCTCCACTTTGGCTTGGTAATCAGCTTGCTTTTTGTTTTCCTTTCGCCACACCCAGGTAAAAGGGCAAAAAAGTACCAGCAACATAGCGATTTATTGACTAAAAATGAATTACCACGCAGTGGGCCATAATAAAAGCGAGTAAACAGCAAATTGTAGATGAGTTTTAGACCTTATGATACCTTGTACAGAAAGTGAAACCCTACCTCACTTAAAAATAGTAATAATATAAAAAAAGCAAATAAATTAAAGATATTTATCTTATACTGCAATATATATAATACCAAACATTATGTTTGGTAATTATGAATTTATTAAATAATAATAATATAATATACTATAATATAATATAATAATACAGTTCTAACAACGAATTAGTTAGAATATTGGTAAAGTAATATGGAATAATATATAATCGAATTTTAAATAAAAAGACAAGCATACCCCAGTTAACCTTAGGTAGCAAAAATGAAAATATGAAAAAAGCCCTCCGCCGAAATCAAACACAATCAAGCGAATTGGGTTCCGTTCTAGTTATAGTTCGGGTTACTTTGCTTGCACAGCCATTTGAGGTTGTCCGTTTGGTTGGTTGGTTAAAAATAATCAGACCGCTTCGTGTTGTCGCAAGGACACCCAGGATACGGCCTCCCACCGCGGTAAACATCGTTTGTCAAAAGTTCCGACTGCCAAGGACCTGGCCTGTCCAGCTCCAATTCCACCAAGCTCCTGCTCCTCCTCCCAGCTCCAGTTGCACTTTATCCGCGGTGGGGTGGATTGCTCCTTCAGTCAAGGACTTACGTGAGTCGCGGCCGTGCGATAAAATAACCGGTTACAAAATATTTGTTGACATTCCGCGGTAAATTACCATAATTAGTTGATTCGAGCGACCGACCCATGTTTGATCTGTTTGGACTGTCACGGGGGCGTTAGGTTGGGTCAAAATACTAGAGACCATAGAGAGTGGGTGTGCGTGCTGCGACATAATGCCAAACAGAGCACTGCCCACTGCTAAAGGGATAATAATTAGAGCATATGTACGGATTGAGTGCAAATATTGACTCTCGGGTTGCGTTTCCTTTTCATTGCTAGCCTCCATTTGTCATCATTTCGGGTCGTTCTGGTGAGTAAACTCAAATTAATCAGCCTGATATCAATATCCGTGCAAACATAGCTCCACATAAAACATATGTATGCATACAGGCGATACATATGTCAAAACCTTATGGACATGGATTTGCCTCAAGGTTTCTCTTGGCCGCAAGGATTGTGTACTGTTGACATATGTAAGTTTAGGGGTGAAGGCGAAGAGGTTAGTTTGGATTGATATAGTAAAGCAACGCAAATAGGGTCTCAGAAAAGGTTAGTTACGATTTTGACATTAAATCTTAGAAGCAAATCTAAGGTCGACGTAAATGTTGTGAATATTTTAAAATGATTTAATAATTTTCAACTTGCAATGTTTGTATTAAGATTGTTTGTAAGATTGTTTTCATTTTTTTTACGATTTAATGTCGTGTGTTGTCACGAGGTAAATTTAAGTTAAGTTAGTAAATCAATTATTAAAATTAAAAAAGTATTATAATCTGTAAAGATTAGTGTTTAACAATGTTTTTCTCTTTATTATTTTACAAGGTTTAAGACCTTTTGTTAAACCGAAGTAAATTTAATTTAAGTAAATTAATCAAATATAAAAAATAAAAAAAATATTCTAATCTGTAATGATTAGTACATAAATATAATATTTCATTACTTCTTAATACTTTAAAAATTTTAAGCCAAAGCCTATTAAAAAAATAAAAAGAATAATAAAAAAAAATTTACTTCTCAAACATACCTACAAATAAAAAAACTTTTATTATTTTGTTTTAAGATCTTAAAAATATGAATACAAAATTTCAATCATTCAGTTTGACTCCTTCGGTCTACAATGACAAAGTCATTAGTAAACATCCCTCCTATCTTTAGGAAAACAGGATAACCACGACTTCAGGGGCTGAACCAATGAACCTCAAATTAATCCCAAAGCCACAGCGACAATTAATATGCTACCAAACCCACGCCCACAAAAGATATAGAAACGAGCAGAGAGAGAGTGAAAAAGAGATTAGGACAGTCAAATGACTTTAAATTAAGCCGCTGTGCGTCTGTCGATTTAATTAAAATCAAAACAAAATCTTTGCCCGGCGCCACGCCCCCTTTTCGCCTCCCCCTGGGCCAGGCAAATAGACAAATAATAAAACCATAAATAATGCAAAACAATAAATGAGCAAATATTCATAAATTATTAACGCAGGAGCTGCTGGCTGACAAAAGGCAGGGCAAATACCCAAAATATTTTGCCAAAGCATTTAGAAGGACAATGAGGCACGAACCAGATGACAGAATCCGGGGAAGAATAGCAAATCCCCGCAGCAAATAATTGAGCCTCATAAAGGAAATATCATTCATTGATTTTCCCCCGGCAACCACAACAGACTCTCGACCTCTCATTTCCCCCAGCAAGTGGATGAAGTCGTTCGCCGCCTTGAAATGGGATGGGGAGTGGGAAGGGGAATGGGAATGGTGTGGCAAGTGGTGGTGCTATACATAGGTGGTGGGTCATGGGGCTCCTGTCCGCAGACAATATGGACAGCTGACGAAACTATCCACCGAACGCTGGAGGAAGACTTTCACATGAATCCGAAATCTATGCCCCGTCATGATTTGCACAAAAAACTTGATCCGGCAAATTTGTCTGTGGAAGGACACAGGAAACATGAGGGGAAAAGGGACGAGGGAAAGCTAAGGAAGAGTCAGGGGGAACAAATGATAAATTATTGAAGGATTTCTGTTAATTTGATGACACTGATGATAGCCAAGGCCAGATTATCCCGACTGCTTTCCTCTGATAGGTCGGAAGCCGGTAAGCGATATATTTTAAAATCGATTTGATTTAAAAAATAAAAGTTGAAACAAAATGGTAAGTTGTGGATTTTGGCAAATTAAACATTTTTCAAAGAAAAAAGTTTACCCTTTCTCTTTGATGTGGGGAATTTAAAATACCTTTTTAACCTCGTAAGTATCATTTAGTTTAAAAAATGTACATGCTGCTTTACCAGTTTCCCCAGTTTTAGTTTTCTTACTTTTATTTTAAGCAATAAATGAAATTTTATAAAATCTTTAGAAGATAATATGAAAATTAAAAACAGCCGAATAATTACTGATGTAAAACAAATTAATTATTTTATTTTAATAAAATGTGAGAAGCCGCAAAACAACAAATAATGAACAAATAATAAAGTAAGCAAGTTTTTAGTGTTCAATGATATTTGAATTCAGCGCTTCAACAATTGGGAATACCCCAACTAGCTTAGCAAAGTTTCGCTCCCACCCGATACTGCCACCTTTTTCGATTCCCCGGCAGGCAATCGATGTCAACGAAAAGCCAATCGACGCATCGATAGCTCAGGAATTGTCACCCAAAAACAAGCAAACAAGCAAAACAATTCGAAAGTCAAAAAAGCGAGCGAGATGAGCGCGTATTACCGGCGCGAGGCGCTGCGCCACAAGAGCCCCAGCCGGGGCTCCTTCGAGGCGGAGATGAACGAGTCCGGCTACACATCCTTTCGGGCGCAGCACAATTCCACCGCGGAGACGCCATTTTTGTTCGAGGACGCTGAGGGCGAGAACTGTCGCAATGCGTCGAACACTTCGCTGGTGATTCGGGGACAGACCACGCCCAGTGGCCACTACCAGGAGCAGGACCTCCACTGGGGCAAGCCATTTCCGCATTCCAGGTCGCAGCCACAAAAACAGGGCTCCTTAGATGAGTCCTTTTCGCTGACGCCCCGCCTGCAGGAGGCGCACAGTCTGCCCAAGCGGCGCAAGAAACACTTCCAGCCGCCGCACAGCAGCCCCAAGAAGTCGAAGAAGCTGCTCTTCCCCCAGCTGGAGCAACCGCCTCCCAAGAATCGCTTCTACGGCGGCGTCGAGCAGCTGGACATTGTGGCCAAACTGGCCCAGAAACAACCGGCCCTGGAGTGCATACTGCGCCATTTGGGCGCCCACACGCTGGACGTGATGACCCAGGTGTCGCCGGCCTGGCGGCAGGCCGTCTATCGCAGTCAGCGGGATTTGGAGCGCCTGCAGAACCACCGGCTCAAGCTGAGCCTCACCAAAGAGAACCACCAGGTGCCCAAGCGGTGCCGCCATGCGCCCAAGGCCAACCAAACAGTGCCATTGCAGAGCTCGAACCACAGCAGCCTGGCCAACAGTGCCGCCTCGCTAATGGACTCGGGCAACGCGAGCGTCCACCTGATGGAAGTGGATGCCGGAAGGATTCTGCGCGAGCAGACGCAGCGCGTCAAGTGCCCGCGATGCGGACGAGGCAGCCGGGTCTTCGTGAGCGAGGCAGCTAAGAGCGGCGACATGGCGCTGTCCCAGACGCTTCCCATCGGTTGCAACAACAGCACATTCGCCGGACAGTCGCTCAAGCGCTTCTTGTCCCTGGACCTCGACGAGTACAAGACGCCGCAGCCGGCAGCCGCTTACAACTTCGCCGAATGCACCGGCGTCATTTGCCAATTCCGCTTTTGCGTCAACTGCCTGTGCAAGTCGCATCCCGGCGAGCGTTGCCTTGTCACCGAACTGGACACGCCCTCCAAGCTCATGATGCCCCGGGAGCGACTGACGCCGCCACAACGTCCCCAGAACCGCGATCCGAAGATCAGAAGGAAGAACTCTCTAAAGCGTCTCTGCTTTTAGCTTATAGCATAGGCTTTTATTTACGTTTAGTATTCGATTTGTTCAAATCTCATCAATTCCGTATTATGTTAGCCGCGTTAAGTTCCATTTTGTCATTACACACATTCTCATATTTGTTTTTAAATCGTTCATTGTAAGGTCTGTCGGAAATCTGTACCTCTGCGAGATTAAGTATTTTTTACATATGCGAAATATAAACATTTTTATAAATAGAGCTTTAATTTCTAGAGTATTTTATTTTTATTTATAAAGGACTTTTTTAAATTAATTGTCTCCCAATAAGTGATAAAAGGTCATGGAAACCGTTCTCTTGCCATGATTTTATTTGTACCTATAAAAATGGTAAGCTTAAAAATTGAGTGGAATTTGTATTCGGTTTTTATACATTTTTTACAAATTGTTAATTATGAAGTGGTACGCACTATATAATAGCATATTTACATTTTCATTTTACAGATCTTTAAATTATTCGGCGTTTTAAGTTAAGTTTTATTTTGCAGAGGCCTTATAATTTAAAAAATAACGTTTTTGAAAAATGGAACTTATTCCGGTCGCTGTTGCAGAAACACTCTCTGTCTGAACCGCCTGTAATTTCGATTAGTGTTTATCTGAAAGGCCGCTCCGACATAAACACCCCATCGATATATCGATAACTTTAACACAAACACGTGTGGAGTGCGGTTGCCGCACGTTTTTTTATTCTTCGTTTTAACTTTGAATTTAATTAAAAAGAAGGAAAAGACAGGCCATCCACGATGAGCACCGCGTTGGCCCAGCAGCTGCAGAAATTGGCGGCGCCGCAGTCGTCGGTCACGTTGGCGGACGCCCGGAGTCGCGCCTCGGTGCTCTTCGATCCCAAGGAGGCGGCCAAGAAGGACAGGCGCTCCATCTACGAGATCGGGATAACGGGACTGCAGGAGCTGACCGACTTCAATCCGGCCTTCAAGGAGTTCCAGCTGACGCTGTTCGACGAGGCCACCCTGACGCTGGAGCGATCGGTGGAGCTGCCGGAGGTGAACAAGATGCTGGACGCGGCCATCGGGAAGTTCCTGCGCCTGTTGTCGCCCTACCTCCTGCTGCGCCCCGCCCACATGGCCTTCGAGTGGCTGCTGCGCCGTTTCCAGGTGCACGAGTACAATCGTAGCGAGGTGATGGCCCTGATCCTGCCCTACCACGAGACCAAGATCTTCGTGATGATCCTGAAGACCATGAGACTCCGCTCGTCCGATGGCGACTGGTACTGGCTGCGTCCGCTGCAGCGTCCCGGCGTCGCGCTGGCCAAGACGGCCATTGTCAACCGGGCCGCCGGGAATCCCGCCTTCCTGGGCTTCATCTGCCAGAGCACCCAGAAGGCGGTCAAGGAACTGGGTCCGCGGGCCCACCAGCTGCAAGCCCAGATCAACTTCTATGCCACCGTCGTTGTGGGCGCCCTGCAAACGGCGAAGCCGCTGCAGGATTGGCACATCACCACCATTCTGGAGTCGCTGCTCCGTGGGCTGGTGTCCGATAATATTGACTTTATGGCCGCAGCCTATGTGATTGTCGCCCAGCTGGTTTCCCGCACCAAGCTGAAGAGCGAAGTGTGCAATGCTTTGTTGCAACGCGTGGCGAATTGCCCCTTCGAGAGACTCCACACGGAGTCACTGCTCCTGCTCGTCTGCATCTATGGCAAACAGCAGGCTGCTGTGCCGCACTTTAAGCCAGAGACCGCCATGAATCTCGTGGGCCAAAAGTGGCTCATCTCGACTCTGGCCTCGCTGGCCAAAAGCAACATTGCCATCCAGTCCATCTGCATGCCGCTCGTGACGGGAGCCGTGACCGCCATTCGGGAGGAGGACCCCGCCTCCAACTCGTGCAAACTGTTCTTGGATAACCTTTTGTCGGATGTGCCAATGGCTACGCCGACTGCCCAGCAACTGATCAAGTGAGTATCTAAATGAATCATTCAATTTTTGTTTTATCATAGTATGCCATAAAATTTCTGATTTGTTTAATTCAATTCTATGTGAAATAAATTGAATGTTTTTTTAATTAATTTCGAATTGAATGAATGAATGAATAATTGAATGGAAAATTTTTAACAAATCAATGTTAGGGCTAGTACTCAACCCAACAAAAAGTCGTCCAAAACAAAAAACTTCATATGAAAAACAACGTCAAAAAATTTTGTTTCATATGAAGTTTTTGTTTTGGACGACTTTTTGTTGGGTTGAGTACTAGCCCTTATTAGGTCCCTTTCTTCTTCAAAATAAATTTTCGTTTAAATTGTTTCGGAATTCATGACATTCATTCATTCAATTCTATTAAACTTAAAATTTAAATTCATTCAATTATATTAAACTCAAAATTCTAATTAATGCATTCATATAAAATAAAAAATTTAAAATAATTCATTGAATCCATTTATGCAGGGCTCTATGTTTTCCATGAATATGAATTGATTAAAGGCTTTACTTTTTCTTTACATCTTAAATGACCAAAATAATCATATAAATATTATTTGAAAATTTGTAAGATTATTAATTATAACTTCCACATTTTAGTTGCTTTCTGGATACCTTTGTGGAGACGGAGAGCGATGTGCCAGAGCCCATGGACACCTCCGCAAACGAAGATGAGGATACCATCGTAATTGATTCGGATGATGAGGCGGAGACGGAAAAGACCAGCTTTCAGACCTGGTATTCCGATTACCTGGAAAAGCTGGAAAAACGTTATCCTGAAGCTTTTGACCTGAGTGTCAAAGAGGCTCTGAGGGCCAAATCCAATACAAGCAATCGCCAAAAGGCCCTTAAGTTGGCCCTAGGTAAGTAAACTAGAATAGCTATAATTCCTAATGGAATTTATGATAAAGAATATGATTTTATTTAGGTTTCCGACTCAATACCACAGATGACAAAGCGAAGCATGCCTATGAGAAGCTCTATCACTACAGCGCTGACTGGCGACTGGCTGCTGTGCAGCAACTGCTCCAGAACCTCACGGTGTCTAAGAAACGGGAGCGAAGCGTTAAGCTGCTCCAAGAATGTCTGCCCGACAGGATCAACGATGACAGTGGCGCTGTGGTGTCCAGTGTGCTCTCACTCACCACCGCTGAGCTCTGCGACATGTTGGGTCCACTTCCGCTGGCCCAAACCCTGTGTCGTCTGCTATACCGAGGTCAGTCCGAAAAGGATGAGGAGTGGCAGGTTGTGGTTCCGCTGGCCGTTCGTCACTTGACCTCCGCAACTGTAAGCGAATATTATGACAAGAATCTGGTGCTATTGGCGCTGATGCCGCTCCTCTTTCCCGGAGAAGCTCTGGCGGAGCATGAGCACAAGGCTCTGCTTATTCTGCTCAGCAGTGATTTTGCCAGTAAAGTTCCCTTCCTGGCAGCGCTGAAAGTGAGCAGTGAATTTATTGACTTTAATCCTCACGAGCATCGTCAACACTTCTTGGATGTAATAGCGAGCAACAGTCAGGAGCTGATTAGTCAGGAAAGAGAGCTGCTGCAGAGCGTAGAGAATCATGGAGGTGAAGGCTACATTCAGGAAGCCTCTCAGCTGACCCATCTGCTGCTGCTGCTGACTGCCTACGCCAAAAGGGAACTGCAGCCGCAGGAAAGCCTTCACATACTGCAGAAAATTGAACTATACAGTCGGAACATCGAGTTCCGCGTGGCCAAGGGTAATCGCAACACGCAGAGCTTTGCCCCTCTTCAATTGTATGTGGATTTCCTTTTGACTCTGGTGAAGAACACCAAATGGACAACTCTGGCTTCGACGCCTTGGAATCAGTTGTCAGATGAACTTCGTCTTTGCCTGCGGCTGCTGGAGATCATAAGCTGTCAAGTCTTCTCGGAACGGGTTGATCAGCCAGAGCGTCAAGAGTGGACTCGAGCACTGCAGCAAAGTCTCCAACTGATTCTGCCCGAGGCACAGGATAAACTGGATTTTCTGTCCAACTTCTATGTCTTCGAGCGACTGCCGGAATTGTGGCCTCGCGACTCAGATTATGCTGTGTTCCGCCTGCAGGGTTTCTTGCTCATGGAGGCTGTTCTGTCCAATCCAAAGTCCCAACTGAACTGCAACCTGGTTCATGTGTTGCGCGTGGCCAACGCCTGCGGATCGCCTCTACAAACGCTGCGAGTGCAGGCCATCAACACCCTGCAGTTGATTAGCAATCGCAAACTTGTCTCCCACGTAGAGCAATTTGTGCGATCGTTGCTGCAGCGCAAGAGCGAGCTGAGCATGGACCACGAACAATATGCCCTGATTCTGTACACCATTCTGGAACCGGAGAAGGCCACTGCCAAGGAGAAACTAGTGCTGTCCAAGCTGAGAAGATCGGTTTTAGCTTTGGCCTGCGACCCCGAGCAGCCGCCCATTTGCACAGCAGCTCTGCTGGCGGCCCTGAAGCACGTAAACGAAGAGCATTTCCTGTCCGAATTACTGCCGCTGGGACTGGACTCTCTAAAAAAAATAACTACGGGCGTAGACAATCAGCACTTGAAGCAGCTCCCATGGCCACATAACGAAATCTACAAGTCGGTGATGGAGAAGTTCGAGGGACGCGTAGCACTGAATGTTTTGCTTCGAAAGGATCTGGCTTGGAAGCTCTTCGAGGAGAGTTTCGCCCACCACGACACGTACGTTCAGCTGGACCAGAAGCTCCAGCCTCTTCCCTGTGTCCTGCTGAATAGCCTCACTCCGGAGACCTTTGAGCAGCTGCAGGCCAAGCACAAAGTGGCGCTGATCAAGCTGATTGTGGAGGCGGCCACCAATTCGGACAACGATAGCATTTTCCTGGCCAGCCATCGATTGCTGAAGCGCTGCCGCTTGGAGTGCCAGCCCATTGTGCCGATGCTAGTGGACATGTCGAGGGCGCAACTGCAGCAACCCAAGAATACCACGAAGCGACGAGCGGCCCCCAGCCAACTGGACATAACCAGCCCATTGTGGAAACAGGGAATGACGCTGCTGGAGCTTTTGGAGCACAAGAAGCAATTGGTTGGAGCTGAGTTATTGATTCCTCGGCTCTTCGAACTTCTTGCCTCCTGTTTAATACTGGAAGACCACAGTGCCATCGAGTATCCCAAGCAACTGATCCTCTCGAGCTTGCTGCACTGCTGCCAAACGGCCCAGTCAGCCGGCGTGGAGATTGTTAAGGCCGTGCCTGAGTCTAGCTTCCGCATCGATGTGGTGGTGCAAGCTTTGAGGGATACACGCAACCCACAGACTCAGCAGCACGCCCTGCTTTTCCTGACCCACTGTGCCGGCATGTATCCGCAACAGGTGCTGGACAAGATCGTCGAGATCTTTACGTTCGTGGGCTCCAGGGTGGCGAGTCACGACGACGCCTTTAGCCTGCAGATAGTTCACAACGTGGTCGAGTCTATTATACCCATCCTGCTGCTGAATACTGGACACAGACAGCTGGTTATTCCTGTGCTCAAAGTGTTTGCTGATATGTGCACCGATGTGCCGGCCCATCGAAGATTGCCTTTGTATGCCACCCTGTTTCGCGTCCTGGAACCCAAGGAGCATCTCTGGCAGTTCCTGTGCATTGTGTTCGAGAAGCAAGTCCGACTGGAGGAGGCCAAGAAGAAAAACGTTTCCACCGACAAGTCGCGACTGGACTTTGCCCGCGAAGTAACGCTGATGTTCGAGGATCCGACGGTCGCCTTGCAGACGTGCATCCAGCTGCTGGAATACATGGCCAAGTTGCCGGCCAAGAAGATTGACGGCAAGGAGGGCACCGGCTCCTCCCTTTCATCCACGGAAGCCGAGTTCTTTGATGTGCGGACGCGAACGTTTAAGGAGCTTCGTCACTACAAGTACCTCATCATGGATTTCCTGTCCGGAATTAGCAGCTGCAACGAGTGGAAGGAAAAGATGAAAGTTCCCGATCCCCGCACACTACTGCCCCACTATCAGGGCTTCATCCTTAAGACGCTCGCCTTTGTGGGCGTGGTCAATTCTGCTTTGGAATCGGGCAGCGAAACACCTTATTTGGATAAATTCTGGCGGGTGCTAGGCAACCATGCCCACGACGTTTTGGATAACGCCATCGGGCTACTGGCACCGGAACACTTCCTCAGCGTAATCACCGAGCTACTGCAGCACGATCATGTGTATGTGCGCATCAAGGTTTTGGATTTGTTGGTGACAAAGTTGGGAGCCACTAGCGATTACTTTGCGGGATCGGCCGCCGAACACTTTGGGGTGCTTTTTGCGCCATTGCAGGACATAATCAACGTCATCTTGGAAAGCGGATCCAAGAGTGCGCAGCAGGCAAAGTTGCAACAGACGGCGCTGCATGCACTGCAGCTCTTGGCTTTGCGACATGGACGCGACTTTATCGAAGAGTGCCGCTCCCTGCTGGCCATCCTGACCAAGATCACCAAACGGCGGGCAAATGTGCCCAAGGCAGTAGTGGGCAATGTGGTGTTGACCCTCGTCGAGATTTGTGCAAGTCTCAAGGCTCACGCTTTAGCCCAGTTGCCCAAGTTTGCGCCCCAGCTCACGGAGTTGCTAAAGGAACAGGTTCACCAGATGGCCACGCTCAAACAGGCACCGGACTACGTCTGCTTCACCCTGGTTCAAGGTAAGTTTATACAATACATTGGCAACTTAATCTTTACTTACATTTTCCCTTCCCTTTTTAAGCTCTTCACAAGCTGTTCAAGGCCTTGCCGCTTTTCCTGGGCCCCTACTTGGTGGACATCATTGCCGCCTTGGCGCGCCTCTCAGTGCAACTAGACAATCCACTGCTGCTGCAGGATAAACGCACCCAGGCGCTGAAGCAGCGACTTGCGGACGTTTGGACAGCGGTCGCCCAGGGCGTGGAGGTGCGCATTCTGGTTCCCAGTTGCGCCAAGTCGTTCTCCAGTCTATTGGAGCAGCAGGCATATGACGAGTTGGGCCAACTGATGCAGCAGCTCCTCCTCCAAAGCATCCGACACAATACAGCGGCTAAATTGCAGCCGGTTCAGGATCCTCTGAGCGAGTTGTTCCTGCAAGCGCTAGATTTCCGGCTGCAGGTACGCGGACGCAATTTGCAGCGGCAGGTGGTTTCGGATGTGGAGGCCGCCGTTGCTGAGACCTTTGTGACGTGGATCTTAAAGCTTTCCGAGACGAGCTTCCGACCCATGTACGCCCGTGTCCACAAGTGGGCGCTGGAGAGCAGCTCCAGGGAAACGCGTCTCACCTACTTCCTGCTGACCAACCGTATCGCCGAGGCTCTGAAGTCCCTTTTCGTGCTGTTTGCCAGTGAATTTGTCGAAGACGCCTCGAAGTTGCTGACGGAGCTTAACTCTATTCGCCCGGAGTTCGATGCTGGAGAGCCGGAAGATGATGTCGAGCTGTTGACGGCCATCCTAAACACCCTGCATCACGTTTTCTTGTACTGCAGCGAGGACTTTATCAACGAGCATCGATTTAACGCTCTCATGCCGCCGTTGGTCAATCAGTTGGAGAACGATTTGGTACTGGGCAATGACCCACTGCAGCAAGTTCTTAGCAACAGCATTGCCCAGCTGGCGGTGGCCACCAACGATGTGATGTGGAAGCAGCTCAACAGTCAGGTACTCCTGAAGACCCGCACACCGACGCCCGAAGTGCGGATCTTGGCTTTCAACAGCTGCGTTGCCATCGCCCGAAAGCTGGGAGAAAGTTACGCCCCCCTCTTGCCAGAGACGGTTCCCTTTATCGCCGAACTGCTGGAGGACGAGCATCAGCGCGTGGAGAAGAATACACGCAGCGCGGTTCAGGAGCTGGAAACCATTCTGGGCGAGCCGGTGCAAAAATATCTTTAAGTTTGGAAACGGAAGTGTTTTCTTTAACTGTTAACTATGTATGTTTTTCTTTGTAATTAAAAAGAAATTATTTTTGAAACATACCAAAGGTTTTCCAATTATAACTGTTCAGAGCTATATCTGAATTTACTTCCACTCAATTTTCTTTTATAAATACAATAAGGCATGAATGGATTCAATGAATTATTTCGAATTTTTTGTTTTATATGAATGAATTAATTATAATATTGAGTTTATTAGAATTAAATTAATTATAATTTTGAGTTGAATTGAATGAATGAATTCCGAAATAATTCGAACGACAATTTCTTTTGAAGAAGAAAGGGCCATAATTTTGTGATTAAATTTGCCTGAATTTTATTTACTATGCAGTTAAGCTTGATTTGTTAAAAATTTTACACTTTTTGTTCTCAAAAGAAAGCACAAAAAAACACTGGCAAATTCAAAAAATTCATAAAAATTATACATTCATTCATTTAATTCGAAATGAATTAGAAAAACATTCAATTTATTTCACATAGAATTGAATTAAACAAATCAGAAATTTATCAATTTTATACTACTCATATATTTGTTAATTCACTCAGGCAAATATTAAGACCATTGTAATTTTCTTGACCCATTAATGAGAAACTCGGAGTTCATTAACTTAATCATTTATTTCGAACTGCAGTGTTCGCTTAAACTAGTGTACAATAAGAAAACAATCAACATTATTCTTGACACAACAAAACACCGACTATGTGTTGTAGGTGTAGGAAATGGTGGGGATGTGGGCGTTGTTGAGCGTATTGTCGTGCGTCTCCTTGTCCTCGGGGATCTCGGGATCCTCGCGCTCCTCCTCCTCGTCGATGATGCTGATGTCGCGGATGGAGGGTCGATGGCTGCGTCGCCAGCCGCTGAGATCCTGCGGCTGCTTGGTCTTGGTCAGCAGCTTGGTGCCCGTCACCGAGATCAGGATAGCTCCGAGCGGAGCGGTTAGCACGATGCTGAAAACACAGATCGTCTGCACAATATTCGCCCAGTTGCGTTCGTCATCGGTGGCATCGTCGCCCAGATGCTTCAGGGCCACTGGACCGAGGGCGGCCTGTACCGTGGCCTTGGCCATCCACGACAATCCCACAAAGAATTTCTCCTTGGTGTTGAGACGATCGCCAAAGGCAATGCCCGCCGTGGTGAAAATGCGCAGAATGGCGCCCGTAAAGATGCAGGCCGCTCCAATGGACACCGTGTGCGAGTCCAGCTCGCGAATCTTGACGGTGGCACCGGTCAGACCGAATAGTATAGGCTCGAAGATCATCCAGAAGATCTCGAAGGCGGTGGACACCGGATTGTCCTCCACATCCCAGCCGTCCTTGCACCAGAACAGATTCGAAACGAAGGCCGCGAAGACGACGCCCAGGGGTCCGGCTCCCTCGAAGCCCAGTTCTTCGCTGCCGTAAATGGCCATCAGGCCGCCGGTGAAGAGGAGCAGCGTCCGCAGCGGCACCACATAGGCGTCACCCTTCTCCGGAAAGATGCGGGCCAGCGATCCCCAGATGACGCCAAAGCCCAGGCCGCCCAAAATGCAGACGGGAGCCTGGGCAATCTGATAGGCCAGACCCTTGTCCGAAAACATCACCGTGCTGATGATGCCGAAAATGGCCACCGACAGGGCATCGTCCACTCCGGCCACGGCCACCACCAGTGTGGGAATACCCTTGGCCACGCCATAGCCCTTGGTTCGCAGCCGGAACAGGCAGGGAACCACCACAGCCGGCGAAACGGCAGCAATGATCGAGCCCAGCAGGAAGGCCCAGATCCAGGGCAGGTCCAGCAGGAAGTGCGACATCACGGCCATCACAACGGCCTCCACGCACCACGGGATGATGCCCAGCTTCAGGATCGTCTTGTACACCTTCTTGAAGGCCTCCGGCTCCATCTCGAGGCCAGCTCGAGTCAGGATTATGGTGAGCGCGAATTTGCGCAGGTGGGCCGTTACCTTGGAGAAGTCGCCATCGATATTCGCCCAGCCCACGTTCTAAAATTATAAAATTAAGAAAAATCGTTTTTATTTTTTTGTGATAAATAAAAATAATAAATTAATTATTTTTTAGTGTTATGTAGTACTAAAAGTGAGTTTAAATTGAATGGCCGACGAGATAAAATACAATTTTATATAACGTAATGTGCCAAAAAAATTATTTTAGGATTTCAACGTTGCGAAATTGTCGTAAAAATTACTCATACGACACGTATAACAGTTAGAATTTGGTCGGAAAAAATCTTAAATTTCTAACCTTGTTAATAATATAAATTTCCAATTATGGTTTAAATGATTAACATGGCCAAATTATTATTTTTACAGCATAAATAAATGGTGTATATTTAACGCTCACCTGGAAGAGGATGCCCACCAAGAGCATTCCAATTAGACGCGGCAAGGTGGTCAGCGATATCAGGTAGCCACCGAAATTTGCGGCAACAGTGAGAACGACCAGACCGAACAGCTGTCCTCCAGGGGCAGCAGAGTCGCCGATAATCACAAAGGCCGTGACCCAGATAAGGACACCTGTAATTTAAGAAACGGGTATTAAATTTGTAATTTTAATATTCATATTGTAAAAAAATAAAAAAAAAAGCATAATGCATTGCATATTATGAAAATAAAACAAAAATATTTGAAACAATTTATTTAAAACTCTTGAGGTTAAAATCTATAAATTGAATTGGTCCGATTGATAGAGTTATGATGTCGCAAGAGTTTTCTTAATAAAGTCAATTTTAAATTGTTAACTGAGTTCGTTACTAAAAACTCTCAAGTTTAAAAATCTTTAAAAATGTAGAAAAATTCCAAGAGCCGTAATAAAATTAAGATTTTTAACTAAGTACAAATCGTCGATTTACTTTTGTAACCTAGTGGTATTATTGACATAGCCAATGGCAACATATGCTTTTTACAACCGTTCCGAATACTTTACTTACCAATCAATATAATTGAAACTAGGCGAGATACCGTCCTGAAGGTGGGACACAGTGGGTAGGGGAAGATCTTCTGCCAGAATGGCGGCTCCCAGGACGCAGATGGCTCCTCGCCGCGGCACTTGAGGCAGAATGTGTACATCCAGGACTCCTCCACGTAGTTGGCCCCGCCATTGCTGCTGTCGCCCCCGGAGGTGTGTCCCATCTGGTGGCCATTGTACTTCGCATTGAGCACGTCCAGCGCATTCTGTCGATAGTTTTCTGTGAAACAAGAGGAAGGTTCGTGGCCATTAATGAATGTATTATCAATACGGAAGCACCTAGTTCCCAGTTTACCTCAGGCCTCAAGAAAATTATCTCGTCAGCCATCATGGATCTCTAATTAGGTGATAACTACGTCCATAATATCATATCGAAGGGGAATACGTCAAAGGCAAGACCTACGCAATAATATTTGGAATTGGTAGAGCCCACTTCCCCCGCCTCGCTAATTGATAATGTCAACTGGAAAATGAAATAGACGCAGAACCCATAGCCCCCGATCAAACAGTTGGTCGAACTTGAGATATTTGCATTTTTCAACTGGCTAATTCAGGCCGCAATCTCAACGAGACCGTGACAATGAGGCGCTGGTTTTATAGGAAACTTCCTATCATTTTTAGGAGAAACACATTTAATATGTGTTAAAATATGTCTGATTCACAAAAATATTATTTACGCGTTACGTTTAAAAGCTTGCACTAAATGTTTGAAATTTTTAATTATTTTAAATACTTTTAAATTGAAAACAAAATCAGAGTTTTATTATAATTCAAATTGGGTAAGAGCTCGAAGTCAATTTAGTACGCAGCATATATTTATTAATAAATACTCATTGTAGCACGTTTTCAAAAGAATTTAATAGTTCATTCTGGTTTATAAAAACGTGACCGCTGCGGAAATATTTAACTGCACGCGTGAAAAGTTAGGAATAGACAATGTACGCCGCAGACAAAATAGAAAATATTTTAGGAATATTAAGTTTAAACTGATTAACTGGGTTTCTGTCTGAGATTTTAGGATCAGCAATTCTACCACTTACCATAGCTATGAGTCGAGGCCCGATCACTTTCGTTGTCATGGGGCACTGTATCCTTTAGAATGCTCTTCCTTCGCGCCGGTCCAATATCCGTGTGCGAATGCGTGGAAGTCTGCGATGAGAATACGAATCGAGGTTATTCCAACTGAATGACGAACTGTTATCGTTTGCCCATATATATTTTCATTAAGAGATTAGCTAGAACACAGCCAAATCCGTTTTTACGATGCACCCATCAACCGAATTGATCCCAATCGCCGGCGTCTAATGAACCTCTCCACTTCCACTCACCTGTGAAATTTTACGCCTCGGATTTTGCTCATAGGCGGGATTATCGTATCCAGCGCCGAGGCCTCCAGTTCCGCCGATCGCTGGCGGATCGGAAATAATGCTGACCCGCCGCTTGGGTTGGCTCTCGATGACAATGGTGCTCTTGTGGTTGCCAGCACCATTTCCATTGCCACTGCCATTCGAATTGGGCATGGGCACGTCGCTGGGCACTGGGATGGGGATGGGGGTTGGAGCGATTATGGTCGTCGGCGTGGTTATGGTCGCCGGAGCACCGCCCCCAGAGGGATAGGGATCCTCGCGAGCTCCTGGTTCTCCCGTGGCCGTCATCGTCTTATGGCTCTGGCGGATCGAAGTTTATAATCAGTTAACGTTACTCGTTGGATGGTTTTATGGCTAGATTAATGGCTCTCAACCTTACACTAAACATCTGACGCCGTTGCGAATCAAAAGTATAAAAATATTAATAAGCGATACGCGAGTTTTTACAACTATCTCGTTCGACGTTTAGCAATGAAATAAATTCATTACCACTCGGTGGCACTCCGCCAGCTGCAGGCGGACACACACACTTACCGAGGCCCTCACACACAGACACCTGCCGAATACACTGAGGGAAATGGCGAGCCGCTAATTGGAAAGCCAAACAGCTATTTATCAAAGTCAGGGAAGGTAGTATGTATAGTTATTTAAAAGTTAATGGAGACACAATCAATTTTTGTTTCGCCAAATATAGGTATTTATTTATTTATTAAC